GGAGCATGCGGCGGCGAGCATAGCTTTAGACAGAGTCGAGTCCGAACAGCGAGCGAGTTACGACGTGCGACTGTCGATGCGATTATCAATCTCTGCCGTACTATACATAATAATATCAAATATATTATTCAAATCCTACAATAGTTCTCAAATTTATGATATTTTATGATGTTCTTAGTTGCATAATCTTAATATCAGGTTGTATACAGCTGATATTTTGTACAGTTGGTTACGTTCAACCTTGTGGCAACCTTGGTGTAACTCTGTTCCGGTGGAAATAGATTAACCAACCTGACTCTAACCCGACTCTGACTCGACTCTGACCAAATTCTATTGAAATAAAATGATCTTTCGTTACAATAAAATATTTTTTAAAATTATAACTTTATAAGTTTTATTAACATAAACTTTTTATTTATAAACTAAATATATATATATATATATATATATATATATATATATATATATATATACAGAACAAAAACATACCCACAATACAATTTTATAAGATGACTAAAAGATGTCCAATATCAGATGTCTTTTAGTCATCTTATAAGTTTCAGCTATAAGACGACATTTAGTGGGACATAAGTCATTTTTTAGTCATCTTTTAGTCATCTTTTAAACATCTTTGTGCTGTCTAGGTAACTACACTAAATATTCACCATTTTTCGGATTTCTTTTATTTATAACTTTTAAATGAGCAATGACTGCCAATTAAGTTATAAGGAAAAGTTAGGGTCATGTCCTTGACAATATATGTCAAGCTCAAAGTCATCGGTGTGATGTCTCCTAAGGTAAATATTTACAGCGATTTCTTAAAAATTAAACAAATTGTTTTTATTTATGAAATTTGCAACGACACTATGATAAAGAAAAGAAGCACAAACATCTGTCTCCTACGAGCAGTCGAATACTGTCCTACGTTAAAACTGTTGAAATGCGGTTTACCCGTACTCCAGGTATAGAACGATTGATGCGACAACAAAAGAGAGTGACGCAACTGTTTCTCAAGGTCGTAAAAACGAGCCTTTCTATCGTATAATCTACATCTGGATTCTCCAATCGTTTTCATGAAACTCGTATGCGAAATTCAATGATTTTCAAATAAAAAGTCACATACGAAAATCATTAGGACAGGCTCGAGGATACGGTCTTTACACTCTACATCCAGTATATCTTTTCGTTATTACATACGCAAACACAGATACTAGAAAAAATTTTGGTAATTGTTTAGATGGGAGGGACCACCTTGGATGACCTTGATATTTTAGTATGTTGTCAAGGTCACCCTCCTGAGTGACCTTCAGAAGGTTTTAGCCCGCGCTCGTTATTCGTTAAAAAGTTATTAACAAAACATTTTCGAAAATATAGCAGTTATTTTAAGTACTGAGAGGCATAAACGACTAATATTACGTTTTTCTTTAAAGCAGAGAATACTTTATTTCGCGAAAAAGTCGCTGCTTTACCAAAACACAACATTTAAAGTAGTAAATTGTTGATAAATTGAAGTCTTTTTGTTAAAGCAGAGAATACTTACATGGGTTAGATGACGCGCTTTAAACAGTTGAATACTTTTAAAGCGCGTCATCTAACCCATGTGGCATCTCGCATATTAACTTTCCACGCATGAAAAGTTCACGCATACACTTTCCACGCGAACCGAGGTTCACGCACACCCCCCTTCATTCGTGGATGCGTGAACTATTTCGGGACTACCGCACCTTCCCCGAAAGCAGGGGGAGGTGTGCGTAAACCTCGGTTTGCGTGAAAAGTGTATGCGTGAACTATTTCGACATATATATTAGTCATTTATGCCTTCCAATACTCAAAATAGCTGCTATATTTTCGAAACATTTTTTGTTAATAACTTTTTAACAAATAACGAGCGCGGGCTAAAACCTTCTGAAGGTCACTCAGGAGGGTGACCTTGACAACATACTAAAATATCAAGGTTATGCAAGGTGGTCCCCCCCATCTAAACAATTACCCTGTATTCTTTAAACCGGTTACTTATACGAAAAAGAGTATAGAACCTTTTTCATAGAAAATTTTTTAATCTATACATTTAAAAATAGTTATTTTAGTCATAGGACCAATACGTACAGAGATATTCATTAAAAACTCATTTTTTACACCAATTATTCGCTATACAATTTTTTCCGCACAATAGACAAATGAAAATATATACATGTTATGGTCAAACCCCGAAACGCGGGCATTTCTAGCATTGACTAGTCAATCCTGAGAAATAATCAAGCGTCTTGATTAAAGCAGTTAGGTATCAGTAGGAGTTTGATTAGTTTTATTATGGGGGCCGCAGGCGGAGCTTCTCTTCCGCCTATTTGTGTACTGTTTATACAAACATATCAATAAATTACTACAAAACTTTGACCAAGGCGCTTGACCGTTCGGCAGAATTGATTAGTCAATCCTAGGATTGACTGCGTTTTGGGCGTTAACATACATAATTCAGTTAAGTTTAACATACAAAAATTCAGTTAGGTCGAAGTTTTTTTCGTATTGTAATTTTGGAGTTTTTTGCTTCCTCATAGAGGAAGCTTTGTTTTCGTGAATTTCGTATATGAACTTTCGATTGCGTTTAATTACTAAAGTGACTGTGGACTAAAGTCAGAATGTTAAAATTCATGGTTGATCCTATATGGCGGGTCCAATAACACTGTACAACAAAAAAAGCACAAGAACAAACCTTGCAGTGTTCGATAGTTTTTTGAATGCAAAAAACTATTCCGTTTGCCAAATTGCTGTATCACGTCACAATTTTGAGATATTTGCAGTTAAAGTTGCAAAAATGGGCTATTTTAGTGTACATATTTTGGCATATTATAACTACAGTTATTGTACAGTGTAATTAAAAAAATTTTTTAAATTTTTATGAAAATTGGTACATGAAGTTTTTTTTAGGTCGCTGAATCTGAATCTGAAACTTCGAAGACACCGTTATAAAAGATATTCAAATTATTCATTTGGATTTACGATAGAAAATATTGATTTTTCCATATTTTTCAGAGATTATTAATTTATGATAAAAAAAACAGCGAAAAAATCTGATAAAATTCTAAAAAATACTTTAGGGTATCCTAAATAAGCTTAAATTTCCATTTTGATATTGATAATAGTTAAGTAAAAAATAAATTTTTAAATAAAAGCAGGATTATTTATTTATAGTATCTAATTACGCAAATAAAAATGTATGGTTGCCTACTTTTTTTGTATACTTGTTCATATACTAGGAACTCTATACGAAAACAAAGAAACCGGAATTTAACATAAACAAATTTGTTAAAATAGTTAAAAACTGAAAAAACTGAACGTTTTACCTTGCCGCAATGGATTAAATATTACACATTACATATGACTAGTAGTCTCTCACTCCGGTCTAGAAACTAAACGCTATTTGGATGAATGATGTATTGGTAAATGAATACGTTACATTTTATTGTTTACGCATGGTTAGTGTTCAAGCTTGAATCTATTCAATTATCACTTATAACATCTAAAATTCACCGTTTGCGTTTGTATGTAACACTTATTAATAATATTCATTACTCTTAATGTGTTGAACAAAATTGTAAGTAAATTTTAATACTATTCAAACTTATTTAGAAACTAATAAAATATGTAAAATAATGACCTGTTCCAGCCTCTATCTAAGCTGGTTATTTTTAATATTCTTTTTTGCGAAGATAGGAAAATACTTGTTAATCTTTTCAGTAAAGCAGATATTCGGAGTTTAATGTTATCTGATGGTAGAGACCAACAAGACTCCTGAACACTTATCGCTACATCAGAGATTACCGATATCTTCGTATAATACATATTCTCTAATAAATTATTTATTTATATAAACTTTTTTTTATTATTAATAAATATAAACATATAATAGAAGAAAGAACGTTTAAATAAAAAATTTAATATTATTTTTTTATTACAATATAAACAATAGATTAAATTTAGAAAAAAATTGATTATACGATAAATTTTAAAACATGGGACTATACACAAGCCAACGTTACATTTTTGTAATATTCATATCGTATATTTTTGTCAACCAGGCCAGATAAAGAAAAATGAGTGTTGACTACGTTGGTATGTAATGACATGGCTGCCATATATAAGAATTTGGTGGATGTTGACTAAAGTCGATGATTACTGTCGGTTGCAGATGTTCAATAAAGCAATTAATAACAATAATAACTTAAAGACAAAGTTATATTAGATATATAAAATATAAATTAAAAAGCTCACAAGATTAAAAATCAGTCAAAGAGAAAGGAGCATCGAACCGTAATAAGATAACAGTGTTATAAAATTCTATATTATGATAAATTGACGAACGTTTCGGCCCCTTATGGGACCATCTTCAGTGTCAAAAACAATAATCAAATTTCGGAATTACCTACTCTTATAAACACATTGTTTTTATATGCGTTACGTAAAGTCGATCGTAATCAGCCGCATATAAAAACAATGTGTTTAGGTTTTACGTTACTTCGCGTCCCGCGGCGTCGCGTCCCGTTACGTTAAGTTCATCGTAATTCCGGCATTAAAATTAACGCAACTAAACTTAACGCTACTAAACGCAAATGGCGTTGAATGCGAAGTGGACCATACTGTAAAAATTGTGATTTATTCGAATTAATTCAGCGCATATTGTAGATGGAATAGTAATCAAATATAAGATACGTACATCAAGGTTTGTTTCTTTCTGTTGTGAATTTTGCAGGATCGACATTTCGGTGCTGATATGTAAAGTTACAAACTAACAAAATGCTCGGCGACGAAAGAACAAACCGTATATATTATTATCTCCAAAAAGCTGATTTAAAAGCACTTTTTCTACTACTTTATCAGTCTTTCGAAATTAAACGTATAGTATTCGCGCAATATTAAAAAAAAAAAAATAATTTAAGATAATAATTTCTCAGATCACAACGGGCCAACTGGTATAATATTTTTGACATTACGGTTTTTTGTAGGTTCTTCCCCTCCTCCTCCACCACCGGGTCATCCTTTATCCACTGAACATGAATCAAGCAATGCAAGGAATGAACTGAGGGAGATTCAAGCAAAACAATATAATAAGAAGAAACAAGCCACCGTGAGTCCAATAAATGTACAGTAATTTTTTATTATTTATGACAATAACTTTATATTTTATCTATAATGTTACATATTTACTCTTTTCTTGTTGTTATTATTTGCGGCTTTTTTATATTCTTTTCATTTATATTTATGATGTGTTAGGAAGAATTGCAAGGTAAAAAATAAAGGCATTTTATGATAGAATCAAGAATTTACGATCAAAATATTATATATACCATTTATACATATGTTTGTAATAAAATAAACTTGTGCAAAATATATTTGTAATAAAATGTAACGGAAAAAAATCGCGGAAATATTAACTTATGACAACGTTGATACTGCGGAGACGGTAAACGTTTGTCTTGTCTAGGTGAAGCCTATCTCAGCTGCCGATCAGAAAACTCTCTACTCGGCTATTGCTATGGCACAGGAATTGACAGCACGTTCCATGACAGATCTTGAACATCCACCGGAGTCTCCTCGTACACCTGCCAGTCCTTCAAGGCGTAGGAAATTTTCTTTTAAGTTGTCACATCAACACAGTCCTAAACCAGATAGACGACACTTTTCTGAAGAAGCTGCCAGTATACCTGACATACAGGTATATAAAACAGTTTTTGTTTTATCAGGATATGTTAAAAGTTAAAAGATTCATATTTAAAATTAAAACACTTATAACAGAAGACATGTCAAAAATAGGAAGATATTTGTTATATATTCTCATTTAACTAGCATCAAAATATTTATTATGATTTTTAGTATTATTTGAAATACTGCAAAATTACTTGATAATACTAAAATATAAAACAATAACGTACTAAGCAACGGATATTTTACAACAAAAAGTAATGAAAGAAAGAAGAAATTCTTTAATCATTAATAAGATTTTATATATTGTTTAGATTTATTGTTTGATATAAATTTATATGTTGCTTTTCCAAATTATTTAATGATAAATATAATTCTCCTTTTCAATAAATGGATAAATAACTAAGGACTTTTGGTAATAAAATTAACAAATAACAGAGAGGTAAAAAGGTAAATTTTGAGACAGTAACACGTTTGATAGTGTGTAAATTAATGTTATATCGATCTTTAATAATTAATAGGATACATAATTATACATCGGAAGTTTCGGTTCTGCTTTTATTATTTTATTATATATTATATTTGCAGATCTAGCAACAACAAGCTTTTTGCATTAAATATTTTTTATTTCATATAAATATTATATACATTTAAATATTACCTTGGTAGATAAAATGTTTAATTTTTTTAAATATTTATCACATTTTCTTTTTTTATTTGGCGCAATTTTCAGATTTCAACACCTTTTTTTGAAAAACTTTACACTTTTAAAATTATGAAATGTAGAACAACACTAACTCACCTAAACATTCTTCGGTAAAAATACATAATAACGGAGTCTCAATAACCTTGATCTTTACATATATTGTCGAGGACATGGCCCTGAATAAGTGTCAAAAGGTTTTTAGCATCGCTCATTGTTTATTAAAAAGTTATTAACAAAAGAATTTTCACAAATTATATTACTTCTCTTAGCACTGACATAAACTGTTATATTTTTCAGTTACATTTGTTCATAACTTTTTAACAAACAACAAGTTTTTATATAGAGAAAACTACAAGCTAAACAAAATGAAAAATTTTCTTCTCAATTTGTGGACCTGTCACGTGCACAGAAAAAATCTGCGAAAATTTTCGATTTTTTAACATGAAAGCTTGAAGTTTTTTCTACAAAATCTTTTTTTTTTTTAATGTTTCTGCGATTTTTTGTTATCAAGTTATCGCGAGTTGAATGAGCGGAAAATGAGCATTTTGACTTTGATTGTTCATAACTCCGTTAAAAATCATCGTACCGCAATTCAAAAAACAGATTTTTAAAGCTGAACCTTTGCTCTATCGAATGGTATAATTGCCAATTTTTTTAAAATAACATATATATAGACATGATAAAAATGGATGAAAATAATGTAAGAATTAGCGATTTTGTTTTAGCAGAAAACAATTGTGCAGAACAATAATATAAATTTATTCTTTACATTTTTTTGTACTTTTAAGTACCCTGCATTAAAAAACAATTTGTCAAATAGCTATGAATTTTTTTCATGGTACCCACTATGGTTTTATGAGGCAAAACGTACAAAAGATTGTGAAATTGCTTAAGGAGGGTATGTAAAATTGAGGTTTTGGGAACTGTTAGAGGAATGAATCAATCTTGCGTATTCTTACGTATTTTGAGTCGTAGAATCTGAAAATGGCCATAAAAATTACGTCTGTAGCAGCGAAAACGTGGAAAATGCAGGAAAATGGGAAAAAACGTAAAATTGTTTAAACTTCTAGTAATTTTTTTTACCTTCAGATAGCTAGCTCAAGATTCTGTGATTTAAAAAAACCTAAGAAAACGTAAAAAAATTACGTCTGAGAGTTTAAACAATTTTACGTTTTTTTGCATTTTCCATGTTTTCCCCGCTGCAGGCGTAAATTTTTTGGCCATTTTTAGATTCTACGACTCAAAATACGTAAAAATACGTAAGATTTATTCCTTCCCCTAACAGTTCCTGGGGATCCTGGAGTGACGGCCGAACTCCGACGGGAAAGCGTCCTCATCTAACAAGGGAACGGTTGGAAGTGTCCCTACCCGATTTGGATGTGCTTTGGATATGTTATTGTTGAGCATAAAAAAATATTAGACACGTATTTTTTTTTAGCGGCGTATTTCGACAAAAAAAAATAATAGGTGGGTGTGGGGTTAAATTAAAAAATTTGACATTTGAAAAATGTGATTACGCTATTGTAAAGAGCACAAAAGACCATAAACCTTTTGTATAAAACTCTTTTTCATACGCCTCATATTTTCGAAGATATTCGCTAAAAATTATAAAATCCGTTATTTTTGAGGGGTTGTTTCAACCCCTAAACGTCGAGATACGCCGCAAAAAAATACGCGTCTAATATTTTTTGATGCTCAACAACATATCCAAAGCGCATTCAAATCGGGTAGGGACACTTCCAACCGTTTCTTGTGGAATTAAAAACAATCCGTACATACACACACACACACACACACACACACACACACACACACACACACACA